AAGACACCAAATGCTGAAGCGTTCCAAATAATCCTCCACCTCCCGTGCAGTTGAATTTACACTGAGCGATTCCAATTCAGATAACATTGTGATGAAGAGAAAAAAATTCCGCGACGCGACGCCAAATGTGATAATTAGAATAGTGGTAGGTATCTTAACTACCGAATGTACGCGAAGTATACAAGTCCGAATATGGTGAATATCGTAGAGGTACAAAACGCCACACACTCTACAAACTGACGACACTATGGTTGCGAAGCTATTCAACTGGCCTGCGCATCCGATGAAAAATGAGAAGAGCGATTAGTTGCACCCTAATAGGAACTCAAGTTCTTGAGTTATTTAACTGAAAATAGAATAGAGTCAATGTTCACCACATCAAGTTCTTGAGTTATTTAACTGAACGCTTCCTGGAGTGCGGCGAGATTTTTCTGACGGATCTCCGAGAAATCGACTGGTGTCTTGGGTGAAAAACACTGTTCGCGGACCACGAACAACGTGATAAGGTCGTTGATAACTTCATGGTCTGCACACGCCTGCAAAGACGAGTGACGCATTGCGTTTGTGCCTAAACCACTGCGGCTTGAGTAATGTGATATTGTTACCACCGCATGGACGGTATTTTACATGCGCTTGATGTTCTGCACTTGTTCAACAAATGGTAACGGCTTTGTGCAAATCAAAATTGAAGAGCAGCATAAACAGGCGGCGGTATTCTCACTTTCCATTAGAATGAAGTAAGTTCACATTGAGCATCGACCCTATCCTTGCACTACAGCCTCCCTTCAACCGTTTGGTTGATTCACTGGTCGGCTTGGTTGACCTGGAAGATACCGTGATGTTAGGACGGGATACTAAACATTATATCGCTAGCCTCCCCCAAGCATTGTTAGGCCCAAACTGAAACCACTAGAACGCGAGTTCCCCTAAGACCAGCTGGTTTCGCTATGACGCATAAGATTTTTGTTGGGATGATCCCTCCAAGGAGGAAAATGTGAAGCAGGTTGGAAGAGATGCAGTGGACGAAGCAGGAGTTTTTCTAGGTTTGGCGTCACATTACAACAGTAATTGATGTCAAAAAAGAATTGATGCAGACAAATTAGCGATGAATCGCATTCAGTAATTTACGACGAAAGATCGAACATACGTTTCACATGCAGATCACGAGTCCTCACTGTGGCCTAGTTCCCCGAGGTCTCGGGAAACAGCCAGTCCCTTGGCATCAGTACCTGCGAGAATTCTAGTTCACCATCAAGGTACACGATACGCAGCCGCCGGCACCTTTTCAACCGAAACCATGGGGATCAACGTTCCTACTGTATATGGGAAGCACTAGCCAGATGGTTTGGTGGATTGAGGAGTACACAAGAACGCTGCCCGGAACTCACCAGTATATACGATAGTGTGCTAAAGAGAGGTAAACGACAAGGGATCATCTGGATGCAGCAATAGGCGAGGCGCACCATTTCTGGACAGCTGAGAACATTCAAACGTAGCAGATGGACATTTTTATCTGCCATACGGATCTAATCTCATGAGGAGGATGGCGGCACCGCAAATTCATACAATTGGAAAACTTAGAGGAATTGTTGTGAAAGTTGGTTGTCCTTGACGGAACAAGAAGGTGGAAGTTGTTCATGCGAGCTTCTGGTGGTCCAATTAGTGGAAAAATATACAGAACTTCCGGCTTGCTAGTTTTGCGATAATATCTAGGACCTTATGGCATCTCACCCCACAGAACATGAAGGTAAGCGATCCGAATGA